TGTTTTATTTCTTCAATGGCTAATATTTATAATGAAAAAATATTGAAGGAAGGGAACCAGCTCACTGAAAACATCTTCATACAGAACAGCAAACTCTATTTCTTTGGCATTCTTTTTAATGGACTGACACTGGGCCTTCAGAGCAGTAACCGTGATCAGATTAAGAACTGTGGATTTTTTTATGGACACAATGTATTTTCAGTAGCCCTTATTTTTGTAACTGCATTCCAGGGCCTTTCAGTAGCTTTCATTCTCAAGTTCCTGGATAACATGTTCCATGTCTTGATGGCTCAGATCACCACTGTCATCATCACAGCAGTATCTGTCCTGGTCTTTGACTTCAGGCCCTCCCTGGAGTTTTTCTTGGAAGCCCCATCAGTCCTGCTCTCCATTTTTATTTATAATGCCGGCAAGCCTCAAAGCCTGGAATATCCACCTAGGCAAGAGAGGGTCAGAGATCTAAGTGGCAATCTTTGGGAGCGTTCCAGTGGGGTAAGTTTGTGAGGATACTGCTTTTTGCTTGTTCTTCCCCAAATTGAAAACATGTTTATTCAAGGAAAAATAAGAAAAGTATTAGATCTCTGTGACTGTTGGAAAGCAGTCAACAGATGTGCATTGATGTTTGCAGGGACTCATGATAAATGCTATCAGGGATCAAGAAAAAGTTTAAATCATCTCTCAAGGACTTTATGTGTTGATAGTATCACTGACCTGGAAGATGCTTCCCAGGTCTTGTCCAGTTTCCCTACCTTTATGATTGAAGAAACTGGCTAAGTGTTTTACAGGTAATAAGTGAAAGAATTAATATTAAACCCATGAGGTCTGACTCCTAGTCTCTTGCTCTTTCCACTGCACAATAGGTGGAAAAATAAGCCTCATTCATAAAAAGAAGTTTATCTTTTACTTTCATCACTCTTACATGGAAAACCTAGCTCTTTAATTTTTCTTATAGTTATTTATAAACCACAATGTGCCAGAAAGACAGTTTCTAAGGAAGGTAGTTTTCAAAAAGATCTTCACAAGTAGAAAAAAAATTTCTAGAAAAACACGTATGTAGTTATTCTGAATATATGTCAGTTGCTTATAATCATGTGGAAGGATATTTCACTCATGTTATAAGTAAATTCATAATCTTGGAGATTCTATTAAGGAGTTAAATATATGGTTAGACAAAAAAAAAATGCAATGAACTCTTCTATATAGCTTTAGCTTTACAATTTTCATGATTATACAAAATATGAACTGTTTCACACAGTGAACACATTTACATGTTCACCCTTTGGGAAGTCTGTTACTTACTAGCATCCATGGCAGACTTTCTGTAAGTGTCATGCCTCTCAGGTGGTAATAAAACAAATCTGAAGATGAAAAATTTAGAAGTTTACATCCCACATGCCCCAGTCCTGCCAGTATACATTCAGAATTCCTCTTTTCCCCCGACAATGGACTGATGATGATGTTTGCCCCAACTTTTAAGTAAAATGACATCAATTTAGGTAGTAAGACTAGTTTATATTTTTTCCTCCATCCTTTAATTGTTTCACCTCAAGACCAGCAGGTGGTGCTCCTTACTTTACTCATGTTGTTAACTTTGGAGTACATTTTACTTTTTTTTAAGTTTAATTTTTTATTACAATATTATAGTTATACTTAGTAATTGGATTCTTTTTGACAAAATCATTCAAGCATGGAATTTGATTTATTCCATTTAGATCCCTGTCTTCCTGCTTCCCTTCCCTCCTCCCTTTTCCTATACTTTGTCTACTCTACTGATCTTGTTTTGCACATTTGTTTATTTTTGATTGGTGCTTTTGACATATACATAAAGGTGGAATTCACTGTGGTATATTTATATATGCACATAGTGTGATTTTGTTAAATTCATTTTTGCATTTTCTCCCCTTTCCTGTCCCCCCCATATCCTACTCCACTGAACTTCCCTTTATCTTTATGATACCTGATTTCCCCCCTACTCTCCCCCCCTACTTATTTGCCCTAACTTCCACATATGAGAGAAAACATTCAACCTTGATTTTCTGAGTCTGGCTTATTTCGCTTTGCATGATGTTCTCTGTTTCCATCCATTTACTAGCAAATGCCATAATTTCATCATCCTTTGTGGCTGAGTAAAACTCCATTGTGTATATATTCCACATTTTATTAATCCATTAACCTATTAATAGGCACTTGAGCTAGTTCCATAATTTAGTTATTTTTAATTGTGCTGCTGTAGACATTGATGTGATTGTATCACTGTAGTATGCTGATTTTAGTTCTTTTGGATAAATACCAAGTAGTGGGGTAGTGGAGCCATATGGTGGTTCCATTCCTAGTCTTTTGAGAAATCTTTGTTCTGCTTCCAAGAGTGGTTATACTAAAATGCAATCCCATCAACAATGTTTAAGTGTCATTTTTCCCCACATTTATTTATTACTTGTATTCTTGATAATCGCCATTCTAACTAAAGCAACATGAAAACTTAGTGTAGTTTTGATTTGTGTTTTCCTTAGATATCGTTGAACATTTTTTCATATATTTGTTGACTATTTGTTTTTCTTCTTTTGAGAAATGTGTTTTAGTTGTTTTTCTCATTTATTGATTTGGGTTATTTGTTTCTTTGAGGTTAATCTTTTTGAGTTTTTTAATATATTCTGGATATTAATTCCCTGTCAGAGAAGTAGCTTGCCAAGATTTTCTCTGATTCTGTGGGGTCCCTATTCATGCTCTTAATCTTTTTCTTTGCTATACTGAACACTTATTGATTGTTGGTTTTATTTCTTGAGCTTTAGTGGTCTTGTTAAGGAAGTCAATGCCTGCATCAATATAATGGAGCGTTAATTTTGTTTTCGTGTAGCAGTTGCAAAATTTCTGGTCTAATTCCTAAGTCTTTGATCCACTTTGATTTGATTGGGGGGCAGGGCAAGAAATAGGGATCTAGTTTCATATTTCTATTCAGTTTTCCTAGTACTAGTTGTTTAAAAGGCTATCTTTTCTCTGACACATGTTTTTGATTCCTTTGTCAAGTATCAGATGACTGTGTATCTGTGTGGGTTTATCTCTCTGTCTTCTATTCCATCAGTCTTCATGTCTATTTTGATGCTGGTACCATGCTGCTTTTATTACTATAGCTCTGTAGTATAATTTGAGATTAAATATTATGATGTCTCCAGCACCATTCTTCTTGCTCAGGGTGGCTTTGGGTATTCTGGGTCTTTTATTATTCTTCCAGATAAATTTTAAGACTGCTTTTCTAGTTCTGTGAAGAATGTCATTGATATTTTGATGGGAATTGCATTGAATCTTATATTGATTTTGGTAGGATAGCCATTTGACAATGTTAATTCTGACTATCCAAGAACATGGGAGGTCTTTCCATCTTCTAAGGTCTTCTTCAATTTTTCTTCAGTGTTCTATAATTTTCTTAGTAGAGATCTTTCATCCTTGATTAGGTTAATTCTCAAGGTTTTTTTGGTTTTGATGTTTCTTGTTTTATTTTTGTTTTGTTTTGTTTTTTAAAGTTATTATGAACAGGATTGTTTCCCTGATTTATTTCTCAGCAGAATCACTACTAGAGTATAGGCCATCTATTGAATTATGAATATCGATCTTGTATCCTGCTACTTTGCCAAATTCATTTATCAGCTCTAGAAGTCTAGTGGAGTTTTTTGGGTCTTCTGGATATAGGATCATGACATCAGCAAACAGATAATTTGATGTCTTCTTTTCTTATTTGTATCCTTTAATTTTCTTCTCTTGCCTGTTTGCTTTGACTAGAGTTTTTATGAACTATAAATAGAAGTGGGGAGAGTGGACATCTTGTCTTGTTCCTCATTTTAGAGGAAAGGCTTTCAGTATTTTTCTGTTCAGTTTGATATTGGCTTTGGGTTTGCCACATATATCCTTTGTAATATTGAGGTAAATTCCTTTTATTCCTCATTGTGCTTCTAAAGTTAACTTTCCAAGTACTTATCTAACTTGACCAGATGATATTCACAATTTAATGAAATAGGATACTGATTTACATGTTAAGTAAGACTTCTCTTTTCAAATCTAAATTTGACCTTTTGAATTTTGTTTTAATTAATTACTAATTTTATCTGTTTCCTTATAGGATGGAGAAGAACTGGAAAGGCTTACCAAACCCAAGAGTGATGAATCAGATGAAGATAATTTCTAATTGGTACCCAAATAGTTGGCAGCTCTCACAATTGTATTTTCACATTTTCAATATTTGTAATATTTATGTTTTCATTTTTATAAACCAAGGATGCACTAAAACATAACCCTTTTTGTATCTATCTAATCGCTCCTAAAACGGTTTCATCCCAAGGCTTAAAGTACCCAAAGTGTGAAAAATTTCCCAGGAAATGACACAGATATCAAAGCATAGAGACTATATTAATAACCCAGTGTTTTGTAAGTCAGCAACAAATATTTGCAGATTATTTTCCTTGTACTCCAAGTTTCCAAACTTGAAATAATCATGTTAACTAGATCCTATAAATATACAGATAGAGATCAGTTTGCCAGATATTCATAATTATGTGGTTCTAGTCTGCATGTGACAGTCTTCCCTTTTTTATCATAAATAACATAGGTTTTCTCCCCAATTTAGAGACTGTAGAGATAGGCATTTTGCAATTAAAAAGCAATGAAAGTAAAAATTTTGGCTGGAGGGCCTATCTGACTGTGCCATAGTTTCAGGATGATGTAGTCCGTGCTAAATGTTTTGCCGAAAAAGTAACTTTTCTGAAACAAAATCTCAGAATTTTAGTTTTTAAGAATTTACAGAAAATTTTTTTTTTGTAATTATCTTTCAGTGTTTTATATACAAGTAAGCTTTGTGTAAGTGAAGTTGGTTCCCAAGTTACCACAGTCAGCACTTGTATTTAAGCAAACCATTGTGAGTTGTTTGTTCCTTCCTCTTCAATTTGTATATCTCAACATCTTGGCATCATTGCTTTTGGATTATTACATTTTGGAAAATAAATATGAAGGCATTTTATTTTATTAGTTATTAATTAAAGCTTGTGACTGTTAATATGTCTTTATATCATATTCTGTTTCTGAGAGTCAAAACACTGGCTTCAAAATCATTACAAGATTATCAATAAGACTAATGCCAAAGAATTCCTTTAAAAAAGATGCTTTTGCAAATAAATGTTGACTTTTAATGAAATATGAATTGTATAACTCTAAAAATAGGAAATCACTTTACAGTAATTGTTCTCACTTATAAGTGCATGGTATTTTTTAAGGTACTTTTGCATGCAGCCAATTGACTCTATTAGATAGAACAATCAGGTGATAGATAATTTAAAAACAAGAAAACGGTGATTTGTTAAAGGTCATGCAGCTGAATGGTGATAGGAGGACAGGCTTTAGCTTATAACACTGTATGTTTACAAAGTTCTATACTGTAAATTTAAGTGATAAGGTGTCATGCCTACACATTTCTTCTTTATTTCCTCTTAATTTTTATATATGTAAGATAATGCTATTATATAATCCATCTGTGATATCCTGAATAATATGACTGTCAAGAATTGGTCACAATTTGTAATTAAATTAATTATTAAACCTGTATCTTGTGTCACCACTCTTTCATATGAGGTGGGATGTGGAAACTTTTTAATTTCAAAAAACAGGAGTGAGGCAAAAACTGAAACAACTTTGAAAACTCATTGAGTATATTTTTACATCTAAAAATAGCAAAACTACATACCTTAACACAGAGCATAGGCATTCATGAAATATGAAGATGATATCTATTATGGCAATCCATTTTGAAGTTAATGAACATTGCAAAGTATAGGACCTAATTTTTAGGAAATGCAACATACACAATGTTTTGTTTTGTTTTTTAAGTTGGGCATGGGGACACATACCTGTAATCCCAGATCCCAATTCTGAGGCTAGCCTGGGTAAACTTAATGAGAATCTATCTCAAAATAAAAATTAAAAAAGAGCTAGGATTATAGTTCAGAGGTAGAATGCTCCTAGGTTTGATCCGAAGTTAAAAAATAATAATAATCTTATAGAATACATTAAATAGAAAATTTCAGAAGTGCATGGAGTAAAGTTTTCTTACTTTTTTTCCACCCTCCTTTATAGAAAGTATTTATTGCTCACTGTCAAGTCTACTGTGTTAACTGACCACTTAATGAAAGAAAGGAAGAGAGGGAAAGCTAAGGTAAAATGATAGGTTCTGATGTGGATGCCCTAGAGTACTTCATGGGCATACTTTTAAAAGAGGATGGTTTGTAAATGAGAGGTCTAGAAACCATATCCTAGATGCTCTTGGAATCAAGGGATTGTATATCCTGGAGGGAAGAGTATCATGTAGGCATCTTTCCAACTTTGGGAAACTCAATTCCAGTGAGAGTGATAGGGTAACGTTATAAATACTCTCTCTCAACAAATTACTTTTTTTTTCTGTAGAAAAAGCCTTCCTGAAGAATAGAAAGTACTAGTAAATTAACATTGAAGTTTTTAGGGAGAGATTATATTATTGGGATTTTTTTAAAAAAATTTTATTAGTTGATGATGGATCTTTATTTTTTTATTTATTTATATGCAGTACTGAGAATCGAACCCAATTCTCACACATGCTAGGCAAACACTGTACCACTGAGACACAGCCCCAGCCCCAGCCCCTATTGGGATGTTTTAGAAGAGACTTCTTCATTGGTATAGAAATTGGATCAAATAATTTCAAAATCCCTTTCTGTATTTAGATTCTCTTCTATGTAGTTATGACTCAGAACTAATGCACTGAATCTACTCCATGGCTTCTGAATAGCCATTGGTTGGCACAAGATACTACCTGCAATGAATAACCTGATCCAGCTCTGTTATTTGTCCTAGCACTGAATTTCTTGCTGTCCATAGGGGAAGCAGGAGCATTGCTATTGGTTATAGGGGAAAAGGTGGCTAAGACCAGGATTCCAAATCCTTGGCCAGCTGAATCCTGCAGTCATAGGTGCTTAAGGTCCACATGTAGAAAACACCCTGGGCAGAACTAACTCTGCTTATAGCTAAGGCTTTTTTTTTGCCTCCCTTTGTGGGTGCCCTGCCACTAGTAAAGTGGGGGGTAGATTTTGTAGTTTTGTAAAAGCTACTATTGCAGAGAATCCTTTCACTTTCAAACATTTCCAACAGGTGAATGAAGCACGGCCACATCCTTTTCCTTTTACTGTGTCTTGATTTTGTCCATAAGTTCTTACATTCCAGTAGGGGAAGGAGGCAGAAAATGTTAATTGCAATGAAAAGAGGGTGATTTTTTTTCTTTTCTAAAACCAAGAACAGAGTTTCTGAAATTGAACAATACACATTCTCCATTTAAAGGGGAAAAAAAAATTCTTACAAATCTCAGGTTGAACATTTTTTTTCTCTTTTACTATTATTTGAGTACACAAAAAAAATATAATAGGAAGTATACACTTGCTTGCTTATACTTACATATGAAAACCAAAACAAATTTACTAAATAAGATACAAAGCTATAAAACCAATAAATTCTAAATTCAAATATTAATTTAATAAAGTTTTGGTCAATAGATTCACAATAGACCCCCTAACAGCCCTGCAGAATTTCTCCCCTATTGCTGTTTTAGTTGCTTCAAGAACCAACATGTCTCTGCTAAAATTACTGAAACCTGCTGATATTGCTAGTAATACGTTTAACCCTGCAAGGGTTTATCAAACCATGTCTCCAACAATCCCACACAGATGTGGCATGGCCAGGCTGCCAATTTCTACTTGCCTGAGTGCTGGAAAGGTTTTTAGCTTTATGTGTTCCCTGATGTTCTGAAAGAACTCACCAGTAAAATTGCCTGGGTTTACTATTTTATTTTTAAGGAGGAGTACTTCCCCCCAACACACACACACACACGCACACACACACACACACACACACACAACATTTTCTCTCTTATCTTCTTCTTGGTTTACTCTTATTTATATTTTGCAAACTAACCAATCAGATTTTTAAATTTATTTTAATAAGAATGTATGAATAATTGTCGCTGGCCAGCCATAGGCTGTGTGTGTGTGAACTATGAGCATGAGTACATGAGGGTACTGGACTGATGTTGCCTCTCTTGTGGGATAGCTCTGCCTGTGATCCCCACACAGCATGAGATGGGCGTGGCCTTCTGAGATGTCAATCTGCTGACCACTAGACAACAGGAAGCTAGACTCAACCCCATGAAACCTGACCCCCCTCATTGGGGTGGAACTTTCTCCAATGTCTTCCCTCAATAAAAAGGGACTTCAGACCATTGTGGGAGCTGGAGCAGAGGGGTCATTGCTAAAGAATCCCAAGAAAAAGGTATTTTCTCTGTCTCGATGTGATTACTTCGTGCCAACCCAATTTACCTGGGGTAACCCTGAATGACTTAGTTGCTGCAAATCAGTCTCTTAATTTCTTTAATTTCCTCTATTACTGGTATTTTCTTTCTTAGTCTTACATAGGAATGTTTTTTTTTTATTGGTTTATCTATTGTTTTTATGTTAGTTATTTCTATTTAATTTTTTCCAGACTTTTTACTGTGGCAAAATATATATAATATAAAATTTAGTATCTTAACATTTTTAAGTGTATGGTTCAGTGGTACCAAGTATGTTATTCATATTGTAGAATATCACTTTCCATCTCTAGAATGCTTTTCTTCTTGCAAAATTGAAACTTTACATCAATTAAACAATAATTCCTCATTCCCTGACCCCTTAGCCCTTGCAGCTTCCATTTTAGTACTTTATATAATTGAAATTTTATAATATTTGTCTTTTGTGATTGACTTATTTCAATTACTATGTGGTAACACATCAGAATTTTCTTGCTTTTAAGGCTGTCTGTTCCCTTATTTGTATAGACCACATTTTGCTTATCTATCTGTTGGTGGATTGCTTTCATGTTTTGACTATTGTAAATAATGCTGCTGTTAACATGGGGGTATACATGTTTCCTTAAGACCCTACTATCAGTTCCTGAATATAGACCTAGAAGTAGAATTGCTATATCATGTGGTGATTCTTTCTATTTTTAACATTTTGAGGAAATTCCACACTGTTTTTCCATGGAAGCTATACCATTTTACATTGCTACCAATAATGTTCCAGTTTCTCCATATTCTCACTGACACTTGTTTTCTGATGTTAGTTTTTTTTTTTATAATAGCCATCCTAATGAGTATAAGATGGCATTTCCTTATAAATTTGACTTGCTTTTTCCTAGTATTAGTGATGGTAATCATCTTTTCGTATGCCAATTGGTCATTGTATGTCTTGGAGAAATGCCTATTTAAGTCCTTTGCCCATTTTTTAATTAAATTGCTTTGTTATTGCAATTGAATTTTTTGAGTTCTCTATATGTTCTGGATATTAATCCCTTCTCAGATAAATAATTTTTGTGAATATTTTTTCCCATTCTGTTGATTGCTGCTTTACACTGTTTATAGTCTTTTGATACACAATTTTTTAAAATCTTTTTATAAAATCCAATTTGTTTTTTTAAGTTGTCTTTGGTTTTGGTATCATATCCAAGAAATTATTGCTAAATCTAATGCCATAAAGCTTTCATCATATTTTATCCTAAAATTTTTGTAAGTTTTAGATCATGGATCCATTTTGAGTTAATTTTTGCCTATTTTTTAGTTAATTTTTGACAATTGTGACTTATGTATATTATAATGTATATAATTAACTCCATCCTTTTGCATGTGCATATCCAAATTTCCCAGTATCATTGGTGAAAAGATTGTTGTCATCATTGGATAGTGTTGGCAATCTTATTGAAAATATTTGACTATATTTGTGAGAGTTTTAATTCTATTTAGTGGTCTGTATCTGTCTTTAGGCCAGTATTACACTGTTTTGATTACTGTAGCTTTGTAGTAAATTTTTAAATCTTAAAGTGTGCATCCTCCAACTTACTTCTTCTTTTTGGGGATTATTTTGGCTATTCAGCATATCTTGAGATTCCATGGAATTTTATTATGGGGTTTTCAATGTCTGCAAACATAAAAATTTGGCATTTTTATAGGATTACATTAAATCCATATATTACTTTGTATTGACATCTTAATAAGATTAAGTCTTCCACTACATGAACACGAGATGTCTTTCCATCTATTTATGTCTTTAATTTCTTATGTCTTTAATATCTTATAGTTTTTATTTCATAAGTTGTTCACCTGCTTGGTTACATGTAATTCTTAGGTATTTTACTCTTTTTGCTGCTATTACCTGAAATTGTTTTCTTAACTTTCTTTTTCAATTTTTTTGAAAGATTCCTTTTTAATCTTTCATTTTAACTATAACTACAACTGATTTTTGTGTTTTGACTTTGCTTGCATCCTACTATATTGCTAACTTTGTTAATTAGCCCTAATGGATTTGTGGGTGTGCGTGGGGGGTGTGTGCAATCTCTAAGAATTGCCTATATATAAAATTGTACTATCTGTGAATTGTACTATCTTCTTTTCTGATTTGGATGCTTTTTTTTCCCCCTATTTCTTGCCTAATTGCACTATGAATACTGTGTTGAACATAAATGTTTGAATTGGGCATTCCTGCCTTGTTGCT